GCAAAAACGATGGCAAGCATTTCCTTGTCATACGTAGAGAGATCGAGATTCCGACCGGACAATGCCTTACTGAGATAAGCTATGGGATGACCTTCTTGGCATAAGACAACATCTATACCCATACCAAATGCATCGGTTTCCACTGTAAACTGTTTGGTGAAATCGGGGGAGCAAGCACGGGTGTGGTTACAAGTGCCTGCTTGAGCTTGTTAAATGCAGCAATGGAGTCTGGTGTCCAAGAGAAATTGCCTTGTTTTAACATCTCAGTCAAGGGCTTTGCAATCAAGCCATAATGACGTACGAACTTCCGATAATAACTCATGATACCTAAGAATCCACGAAGACCTTTGAGAGACTGCGGTTGAGATCACTTTGTGATGGCATGAACCTTAGAATTGTCCACGGCTACACCTTGGCCCGAGATAGAGTGACCCAAATAGTCAATCTTAGCTTGCCTGAAGGAACATTTGCTAAGTTTTAACCTCAAGCTGTGAGTAGACAAAACTTGAAAAACATTCTCCAAATGGGAGAGGTGAGTAGCCAATGAGGGACTATAGATAAGGATATCATCAAAAAAAAAAACAAGACAAACTTACATAAGTATGGCCGAAAAATGGAATTCATCAAAGCTTGAAAAGTTGATGGAGCATTGGATAAGCCGAATGGCATCACCAAGAATTCGAAATGGCCGTCGTGTGTTCGAAATGTGATTTTTAGGATATCCTCAGCACACATTCGGATCTGGTGGTAACCTAACCGAATGTCAAGCTTAGAAAATATAGCTACCCCATGTAATTCGTCGAGTAACTCATCCACAATTGGTATTGGGAAATGGTCCTTGATGGTTGCTGCATTCAAAGCTCGATAGTCAATACAAAGTCGCCATGAGTCATCCTTCTTTTTGACAAGGAGAACGGGGGAGGAAAAGGGACTATTACTATTTCGAATTGCTTCCGATTGTAGGAGTTCCTGCATTTGTTTTTCAATTTCAGCTTTTTGGGAGTGTGGGTACCAATAGGGACGGACCGAAGTAGGTGTAGTGTTGGGAATAGTGGAATTTTATGGTCTATGTGGCGTTGGGGTGGGAGGCCCGAAGGTATGGCAAAAAGATGGTGGTATTGTGTTAGGATGGAAATAATGGTTGGGGGGTATTGGGTGGAGGAGAGATAGAGGGTGCCGTATGTGGGGTTGGTTGGGAATTGGGATGGTGGGGTGGGTAAATGGGTTGCAATGAGTGACAGGTGCGAAAAGATGGAGTGGCTTTGACTAATCCTTGAAGAGTGTGGGTATGGCCCTGGACATTGAATATCATAGTTTTATGTTTGAAGTGCAACCCTATAAAACCGAGAGACTCCAACCACTCAGACCCCAAGATAAGGTCATAGCCAAGTATGTTCAAAATGAGGAATGAACCGCGAATGGTGTAGCCTTGCATTTTTACAGCCACATCATGAACTCGGGATGAAGTAGCAACTTGAGTGTGAGAGGCAGTGGTGAAATGGACTGGGGCAATCTGTTCAATTGGCAGGCCTAGGTGGTGTGCAATATTTGTATGGAGCAAATTGCAAGCAGCTTTGGAATCGATTAAGACCGTAACCGGAAGGGAGTTGATGGAGTCGTGCAATCGCATTGGTTGACCCATGCTAAGTCCAGGGAGTTGAAAGAGCTCGAGCATGTGGCATGGGGGATCGGGAGGGACTCTTCCTCCGATTGGCAGTCATGAAATTCAGGAGATTCATCCTCAGTGGTAGGAGAATCAAGCATCACAATCATAGGAACTTTGCATTTGTGTCCTGGGACATGGGGTTCTGTGCAATGGAAGCATTCGCGTATGCGGATTTTTTCTTGAACCTCGGCTGGGGTTAATCGTTTGAAAGGGGTTTGGGTTTGTGGGGGTTTTGGAGAGGGGATGGCAGGGATAGAGGTGGGGTTGGATGGTTTGGGAAAGTTATGGGAAAGGTATGGCCGAGAGTAATTTGGGCGAGAAGTTCTTTTAGAGTGATTTTTGGTTTCAAAAATTTTGGCCAATTTTTGAGCTTGGTGTAAGGACTCGGGTTCGAGGGCTAGGACATCATGTCAGATATCCTCTTTCAGTCCCCCCAAGAAAACATGTTTGAGTTGATTTTCTGTCCAATCAATCACCCTACAGGAGAGTTAGTAAACTCGGCTATATAGTCATCCACAGTGCCAATTTGTTGTATGTGGGTGAGCTGGGATTCAATATTTGCTCGATCACCCCCACCAAAACGTTGAAGCAACAAGTCAACAAATAAACCCCAATTATCTCTGCCGTGCCTTTGTTCAAAACCCTTCATCCAAATAGAGGCATCTGCACCAAAATTACAAGCTGCAACAAGGACCCATTGTTGAGGGGGGACCTCGTAATAGTCGAGATATCGTTCCGTCATGGCCAACCACCCGTAAGGGTCTTCCCCAATGAAACGCGGGAGTTCCATTTTGATGGGTTTGAAGATGTTTGAAGGGTGTTGGGAAGTGTATGGTGTTGGGTGGGTGTGGTGAGTAGAATGAGGGGTGGGGGACGGGGAAATATGGAAGGAGTGAGAAGTATATGGTGTTGGGTGGGTGTGGGTGTAAGGGTGCGGTGAGTAATGAGATGAAGAGGCTGGGTTTGGTTGCGAGTGGGCCGACCTGGGTGTGATAGTAATATGGGATGGTGTGGGCCGGGTTGAGGGGGTGTAGGTAGGGAGTGGGTTGAGGTTGGGTGGGTTAGAGAGGCCCAGGCCCATGGGAGAAGAACTCGGTGCGGGAAATAGGGAGCGGAATGAGGGTTGCAAATTGGAAGTAGAAGCTCTCGGGTTGAGGGTGGGGTTTGGGTGGACGGAGGTTGCGGGGGTAGAAGTGGGTAGGACGGTAGTGGTCGGGGTTGGTGGGAGGGCTGATTTGAGGTGGCGCAGCTCCTCTAACAGTACGGTTTGAAAAGATGCGAACTGGGAGGTCATGGTGGTTTGGAAAGCTGTGTTGGAATCGCTGAGTTGGTCCAAGGATTTCTGGAATGAAGCTTGCTGATTTTCCAGAATGGCGATTGTGTCACATACATCCTCGACTTGGTTACGGAGGTGCTCGTGACGAACATCCACCGCAGCGGCGACGGCGTCGGGGTCAGAGCTAGCGGATTGTGTGTTTTTGCCCATCTGTCGAAGGGCTCTGATACCAATTGGTACGCCCCAATCGGCTCAGAAGCTGATATTGATAGAAATAAAAGAACAATGCAGGAATTTAAGAGGGAGAGAAGAGAGAAGTCGAAGATAGGGAAGAGAAGGGTTCATTTTTCATTCATAACCCCTCGGGCTGAGTTTAACATATATATATAACAAGCCAATAAAGGGAAACCCTAGCTACGGGGCTTGGGCTTGAAGCCAAGACAAAGTAAATATTAACGAAAGGCTTGGGACTGAAGAAGAGGTGTAAGGCCCAACAGTAAAGTCCTAACAGTTTCTTTCTTGTAAATGTAAGGAAAGCAGGGGAAGTAATACATGCATTTATATAGATCATCCCATCATATATATGAATTTATGAACCAATTAAAAAAGGTTTCTACTTTCTAGATGCAGGTAATGTAAATACTATCCAAATTAAAAGTCTTATCAATTTATTATTGAGAATCATGTTTTAGTGTAATTGCATGTATGAAAACATATCATCTGCAACGTATGACATATATGGTAAGAATTCAATTGACTAAAACTTTTAAGGATGTGAAGAATTTGGAAGTTTACCAGACATTGCATGAGCTTATAAGGAGTTAGGTTATTCTTTATATTGCCAATTGACTTACGGTGAAATCCCAACTTCCTTCAAAGCTCGTGGAGAAATCAACTAACAATGACTGAGTACATGTTTTCTTGGCGTTGGGTCTGGAATCGGGTCACTTTGATCCCTATTACTTGGAAGTGTGGAAGGTTAAAGAGCACTGTTTGAACTGTTCTTAATCACACAGGACAGTTTCTTACAATATGGAAGTGAATTTCTCCAACTCATTCTCTGTTATTGTCCTTAGAATGGACGAAGGTGTCACTGGGTCAGAAGGAATTGACACCTACAACCAAGTACCGTGTGTATTGTGCACTCCTTTATCATGTAGTTTTGTCTACATGATATATATTTTCTTTAAAGTGAATTACACTTCTTACGCTTAATTTGAAAGCAAAATTCGTGAATTGAAAAAATTGTCGCTCTCTTAACCTTATAAACTATGACTTGTCATAGCACTTTAGAATGGTCATCTTAAGCTTCTCTCTCGCTTCCTCTTTTATTATTATTTTTCACTAGAAAATTTTTGAAGGCTACTTTAAAGTGTAAATAACAAATTCCTAAGTTATTAATCATTTTTCGATATGAATATGGAAATCACTGTTCGAAAAAGCGGCCTAGGAGTTAGGCGAAGGTCGGGAGCCCCCGATTAGGACCTAGGCGCCTAAGAAATCTGTGAAGCCTCTAGGTGGAAATTAGGCGGCCACTAAGCGGTTTAGGTGGCTCTAGTCCGTCCTAGTGTCACGGGATGACTCTTTAAGCCTTCCGCCCGTGCGGCACTTAGACTTGAATACCTCGATGAACAAGCTAAGTAAGCCTTCGAAGCCTCGCTTCCCCGGATCGAATCACAAAGAAAGCTAAGATAGCTTGGAGAATGCTAAGATCACTTAGAAGATGGGAGAAAGGAAGCTTTGTATTGAAAGTTAAGAGAACTTTACAATTGCTTACAATTCTTGGATGGTTTGGCCAAATGGCCTTGCCTCCTATTTATAGGCCTAAGTCACCTCCTCAATGGAGGGTTCTAGAATCCTCTACTTACATCCAAAAATATCTAGCATAGTTCTAGATACAACTTGCCTAATCTAGATTATTCTAGGTGAGGCTTAAATATGTACACTTGTGTGGAATGTTCCGGAATGCCCTAGATTATCTTGAATGCTCCGCCACGTTCTTGATTTCTCCGGGACGTTCCAGAAGCTTCCATGAAGACAAGGCTTTATGGGCTTAGATATATGATGTCTTGGGCATTTTCTTTGTTTTTAACATGCGGCCCGTGACATCCTCCCCCACTTAAGCCGTCGACGTCCTCGTCGACTCTTGCCTCTCGAATGTCTCGATCAAGTCCTTATATTGCCATAAGGACGACTCATTCTCCCATGTTGCTTCGGAGTATGGTAGCCCCTTCCATTTGACAAAGTACTCCACATGCTTTGGTTGTCTTGGTCGCACCACGACACGCTTAGCTTCAATGTTCTCCACTTCTTTGTCAAATGCCTCTGTCATCAAAGGGGGTGCTCGATGAGACTCACCTCGACTTGGTTCCTCATCGTCCGCATGATAAGGCTTCAAGTTGCTCACATGGAACACCGGGTGAAACTTGAGGCGGGGTGGGAGTTCCACAACATAAGCGGCTTTGCCAACCTTCTTGATGATAGGGAATGGTCCCTCATATTTCCGCAACAAGCTCTTGTGCAAGCCACGAGTACTCTTGTGCTGAGACGCATTGAGCTTCACAAAGACTTGGTCGCCAGTTTGGAACTCCACATTCCTTCGTTTACGATCCGCCCATTTCTTCATCTTCTTTGAAGCCTTCTCCAAATGAGCTCGAGCAAGTTCGTGGGCTAATTGCCACTCCTTAGCGGTTTTGAAAGCGGCTGGACTATTCCCCGTGTAGCCAGTCACGACCGTGTTCGGGGTCAAGGGTTGTTGCCCTATAGCCAACTCGAACGGACTTTTCCCTGTCGACTCCGAACGTTGCAAGTTATAAGAGAATTGGGCAACATCAAGTAACTTAGCCCAATCTCGTTGATTGGCACTAACATAGTGCCGCAAATAAGTCTCCAACAATGCATTAACCCGCTCCGTTTGTCCATCGGTTTGGGGATGAAAAGCTGTGGAGAAGTCTAACTTTGAGCCAAGTAGCTTGAAGAGTTCCTTCCAAAATCTACCCGTGAAGCGAGCATCTCGATCACTGACTATGCTCCTCGGAACACCCCAATACTTCACCACGTGCTTTAAAAACAAGCGTGCAGCTACTTCGGCTGTGCACTCCACAGGTGCGGGTATGAAAGTGGCATACTTGGTGAATCTATCGACCACGACGAAGATAGATCCACATCCATCAGACTTGGGCAAATGTGTGATGAAATCCATGGTCAAACACTCCCATGGTCTTGATGGGGTGGGAAGTGGTTCCAACAGTCCTCCCGGTTGCCTTTGTTCCACTTTGTCTTGTTGGCACACAAGACAAGTCTTCACGTATGAATCTACATCATCCCGCATTTGTGGCCAATAATAAGCATCGCTCACCAAAGCCAACGTGCGGTGAGTACTAGGATGTCCTGCCCACATTGAGTCATGGCACTCCTTAAGTATTTCTTTCCTTAAGCTTCCCCACTTTGGGACATAGATCCGCTTGCCCTTGGTGTATAGCAAGCCGTCCTCAAGCCAAAACCTTCTTGTCTTCCCATCCTTGACAAACTCCACAATGTTCTTGGCTTGGACGTCATGTGATAAACCTTCTCGGACACGGCCCAAGAGATGGCTTTGCGGCTTGAGTACCGTAGCCATTAACTCTACTCGTCTACTTAGAGCATCGGCCACCACGTTCTCCTTTCCTTGCTTGTACTCTAGCTTGTAATCAAACTCCGCTAAGAACTCTTGCCACCTTGCTTGCTTAGGTGTGAGCTTTTGTTGGGTTTGAAAGTAGCTAGTGGCAACGTTGTCCGTCTTGATGATGAATGGGGTACCAAGCAAGTAATGCCTCCAAACTCTAAGGCAATGGACGATGGCGGTCATCTCCTTTTCATGGGTCGTGTACCTCTTCTCGGCATTGTTTAGCTTGCGACTTTCATAGGCTATCGGATGTCCCTCTTGCATCAACACTCCTCCTATGGCAAAGTCGGAAGCATCAGTGTGCAACTCGAATGGCTTACTAAGGTCGGGCAACCTTAGTACAGGCTCCTCCATTAGGGCCTTCTTCAACCTCTCAAAGGCCTCTTGACACCGGTCCGTCCATTCCCATGCCTTGTTCTTCTTAAGAAGGTCTGTTAAGGGTGCCGCTATAGCTGAATACCCTTTTATGAATCTCCGATAGTAGTTGGCTAGCCCCAGAAAGGATCGTAGTGTTGGTACCTTGGTCGGCGGTTCCCACTCTTGAATGGCCTTGATCTTGCCCCTTTCCATCATAAGTTTCCCCTCCTTTATCTTGTGGCCAAGAAATTCTACTTCTTTTGTGGCAAATGAGCATTTCTCCTTCTTGACATAGAGTTCATGCTTCCGAAGGGTCTTGAACACTATGCGCAAGTGCTTGACATGCTCCTCCAATGTCTTGCTATAGACAACGATATCATCAATGTAAACCACGACAAACTTGTCAAGATAAGGATGGAATACCTTGTTCATCAATGTGCAGAATGTTGCGGGGGCATTGGTCAGACCAAATGGCATGACTTTATACTCGAACGCTCCATATCTGGTCACCATCGCCGTCTTCGATTCGTCTCCAGGGGCTATCCTCACTTGGTAGTATCCCGATCGAAGATCTAACTTTGTGTGAAGTACCTTGCTTCACCAAGTTGATCGAATAAGTCGGCGATCAACGGAAGTGGGTACTTGTTCTTGATGGTAATCTTGTTCAATGCTCTATAGTCGATGCACAACCTTAGGCTACCTTCTTTCTTGCGTTGGAACAGGACGGGTGCACCATATGGGGACTTGGAGGGTTGGATGTAGCCAGCATCAAGTAGCTCGTTGAGTTGCTTCCTCAATTCCTCCAACTCGGGTGGCGACATCCTATAAGGTGATTTGGAGGGAGGCTTAGCACCAGGCTCCAACTCAATCGCATGGTCGACCTCTCTCCTTGGTGGTAACTTCTTTGGCAGTTCCTTAGGCATCACGTCCGCAAACTCCACAAGGACGTCTTCCACTTGTTTCGGCAAAGGCCCGTACTTCTCCTCCCCTTCATTCAACATTAGGGTTGCAAGAAATGTGGCCTCGCCTTTCTTCCAAGACTTGGCAAATTGAATTGCCGACAAGTGCTGGGTACACTTCTTGGCTTGCCTTTCCAATGGCACCAGGCAAGGTTGTCTTCCGTCGGCCAGAATACAGAAAATATTGTAGAAGGGAATGGGAAAGGCTCGTACCTTGTCCATGAACTCTAACCCAATGACTACGCCATAGTCGTCCATCTTGACTACGGTGAAGTCGATCTTTCCCTTCCATGTGCCAATGTCTACTTGTACATTGCGCGCAACTCCAACAATGGGGGTGGCAGCGGAATTTACCGTCTTCACGCTACCGGGCTCCTTTGTGACTCGGAGGCCAAGCCTTGTGGCTTCCTCCGACGTCATGAAGTTGTGTGTTGCTCCCGTGTCCACCAACACACGCGTCGTCTTGTCACCAGTCTTGACGTCGACGAACAATGATCCTCCCCCAACTTGAGCCTTAGGTTGTGAGAGGGTTGTCTGGATGGCATTCAGTAGACGGATGCATCCCATCGTTGCATCGTTACTCTCTTTGACCTTGTCCTCCTTGAAAGCCATGGCCTTAATGGCCTTCTTTTGTGGGCAATCTCGCATCATGTGAGGGCCGTCGCATAGGTAACAAGTGGGTTGCCAAGACTTACCATTGCCTTTGTCATGCTTATCGGCTTTCTTCTCCTTTGGTTTGCTTGTCTCGGCCTTGTCCTTCGGCTTATGTTCTCCCCCACTTCTCTCATGGTTACCCCTCTTCCCCGTGGACTTGGAATCACCTTGGTGGCTTGATTTAAACTCAATCAAGGATTCGGCAGCGGCAATGGCATCAGACAATGTTTGCACATGTCTCCTTTGTAGTTCGAGTTTTGCCCAATTTTGCAATCCACTCATGAAGTACATGAGCTTGTCTTCCTCTAACATGTTGGGCACCTCGAATAACAAGCTCACGAAGGCGTTGACATAGTCTTTGACGCTCCCCGTTTGCTTGAGCCACCTTAGTTTCTCCTTGGCTTCGTACTTGGCATTTTGGGGATAGAAGTGCAGCATAAGATCTTTCTTAAACTCATCCCAAGTGGTGAGAGAGAACGTACCTTGCTCAATCTCCATGCTCCGACGACGCCACCACATAAGGGCATTGTCAGCTAAGAACATGGTTGCCGTTGAGATTTTGGACTCATCATCTTCAAGCTTCAGGTACTTGAAGTATCGCTCCACGTTCCACACGAATGTGTCGAGCTCCTTTGCTTCCCTCTTCCCATTATAGGATTTGGGTTTAAAGGAGTCGATTACCTTGGAGTCCAACGACTTGATTTCCTCGACCCTTGCACGAATTGCTTCACGACTGCTTCTTTACAAAACGCCACATCTCCCTTGAGTTCCCTTGTGTCCTTTATCTCTTCTTGAAGCGCCACAAACCTTGCCTCTATGTTGTCAAGGTGAACCTGGACTTCCCTCCGCATCTTGTCTGCCATGGTGTTGAGAGCGCCAATGAGCTCATCTCGTAGCCCTTCCACCAAGCCACGCAGTTCATCCTTACCATTGTCCACCATGGTTTGGATTTCCTCCTTGTCGACAACATCCTCATCAAGTCGAGTATCGAACTCGAGTATGGTTCGTTCCACCTTCTCGAGTCGCTCCTCCATGGTCTCCATCGATGCTTGCAAGTCCTTTAACTTTGGCTTGCTCTTGGCAATGTCTTGGACCTCGGCAGCACGCTCCCTTAGATCGGAGACTCCGGACACCATCTCTCCACTTGACATATCTTACTTTCCTTCAAGTGATTCACGAACTAGGCTCTGATACCAGCTGTCACGGGATGACTCTTTAAGCCTTCCGCCCGTGCGGCACTTAGACTTGAATACCTCGATGAACAAGCTAAGTAAGCCTTCGAAGCCTCGCTTCCCCAGATCGAATCACAAAGAAAGCTAAGATAGCTTGGAGAATGCTAAGATCACTTAGAAGATGGGAGAAAGGAAGCTTTGTATTGAAAGTTAAGAGAACTTTACAATTGCTTACAATTCTTGGATGGTTTGGCCAAATGGCCTTGCCTCCTATTTATAGGCCTAAGTCACCTCCTCAATGGAGGGTTCTAGAATCCTCTACTTACATCCAAAAATATCTAGCATAGTTCTAGATACAACTTGCCTAATCTAGATTATTCTAGGTGAGGCTTAAATATGTACACTTGTGTGGAATGTTCCGGAATGCCCTAGATTATCTTGAATGCTCCGCCACGTTCTTGATTTCTCCGGGACGTTCCAGAAGCTTCCATGAAGACAAAGCTTTATGGGCTTAGATATATGATGTCTTGGGCATTTTCTTTGTTTTTAACATGCGGCCCGTGACACTAGGCAGTCCAATTCTTTTTTACTTTTTATTTTTAGGAGGGTTTGGAGATAATTTATTGTAAAATAATTCTGGACTTTCTTTGTTGTAAAATAACTTTGAATATATATAGGGTTTAGGCCCTAAACCCTTATATATATATATATATATATATTTCATTTTATGTATTCAATCAATTGAGTACTTATAATATATATATCCCTTGCATTTATGTTTTCAAATACAATTATGTATATATATATATATTTATTTATTTTTAAGTATAATTGTATAAGTAGTCACGTATTTATATATTTTTATTGTTATATAATGAATTTGATTAAGATAAAAAAAAACCGCTTAGGCCCTAGGCCCTAAACCCTTATTCACCGCCGACTAGAATCTAGAGCTTTTTAGAACCTTGAACTAAATCACAAGCAAGTAATAACATTTTAATAGATTTGATTTTTAAAACTTGAACAAATCCTCCAAAATATAAGTTATCAGTAATGCATTGTGTTGTAATCCTTTTTCTTTTGGAATGGTTGGCTGATTAAAGTTGGACTAGAAGGAACCTCTCCTAACTTTAGGGGAAAAAGTTCCATTTGTTTGCAACTAACAAGGCCATCAGGTGGTTGCGCTACCTTTTTTCTTCAATAAACGTGGTTATATACAAAGGCAACAGTTGTCAATAGAATGATTACTCGATGATGGTGGTAATGGTATGGTGTGCAAGATAATCAATTAAATAATGATAAGTAATCACACTCGATTAGGCCATGAAGATGGTGGAACTGACCATATGCGATGAACTAAGGGTATGGTCAATTGACTTTTCTGCTAAGTTGGGGGCAATTTGGCTTTGTGTAAATGGATTGACTTGTTCATCATCTCCATTCTTTCTTTCTTTCTTTTTCTTTAAAAAGAGTATTAGCTGGTGATTTTATCACGTTAGTCTATCATTTTGGATGGACACAGGTATTTCAACCTCGTTCTGGCCACAATCATATGATTTACCAATACTAGAAATTGAACCCAAAACATACCGTGTAGAATACGAGCTTATTTGTCCTCAATTGAACTATCCCGTGGTGATTGATCATAGTATCTATTCTTTCAGTGACATGTTTTTATTGTGATGTGGGGAGAATGAGGCTGAGACCAAAGTATTGAGGCACATAAACTTCGTATCAATCTAGAATAATATTGACCCAAAAAACGCACCCATTAAAAAAATTAAAAATAAGGAGAGTATCATACTTTGATATAGTCCCATCCATCCCATTTTCAGAGTGAAGGATCACCTTTTTATCTTATTTTGATGAATTTGAACTTTAAAGGTGTGAATTTTAGGACAATTGAGATCATGCGCCACAATAACAAAATTAAAAACACAACCATTTTCTCACAATGACAATGTATAGTTTGACAAGGGCTGGACGAAGTTCATGGTTTATAGGCAAGCAAATTAGATTCCCATTAAAATAAAATAAGGGATTGGACTGCAAACAATTTGTGGTTAAAATGTTAAAATTCTAAGAAATGAGAAAGAAAAAATTGTACATTTGTCTAAAAAGTATTCAAAATTGAAAAAACTGAATTTTGGGAAAGCCGTTATGTTTTAATACACTATGAGATGAAAATGAAAAAACTGTATATATACATATACTTAGTCTAAAAAAGTAATGAATATACAAAATAGAGAATCTACTTGGATCCAAAGTTCTGAGTTCAATTTTCTCCTTTTAATATCATTTGTATCACAATAGAGATTTATATTATATATCATATAGCATCTATATTAATTCATGTATCACACGATACTGCATCAAGAGGCCTAGCATATATACATAACACAATAAACACAATATTTACTCATGGCAACTTGCAAGTAGAATGTAGGACCGGAAAATAGGTAGCAAGTTAATGGGTGGGATTGGTCCTAGATAGCTAACTAGGGCCTTTGGCTGATTGGTTCAAGTCATCAATCATCAAGTGAAGTGGCTAGAGGCTTAGCCACGCATTTGTCATCTCATCATAAACGCAAATATATGTCTTCTCTTATCTTTTTAAGTCTTTGGAGATGAGGTGAATCTATCGTTTGGATTTCTAGTGCTATTTTGGCCCTTCGCTTGGATATCTGTGGATAACAACATTTCCCTAGTATTTTAGGTCGTCTTTTGTTATATATAACCCCCCTAAATAATATCTTTTCTTCCATGCACTTTTTTTTGCTTTTATTTGTTCTTTCTCTCTCTCTCTCTTCTGTTCTATTCTTCTTTTAGCTGTTCATGCCTTTTGTTTTTGTCCAAACCCTAGACTCATCGAGACTCAGGAGAAATGCATCACAGTCATCACTTTGGTCCATGTCTGCATTGCCACCCTCAAAGCTACATTAGAATGGTACTCTCTGTCTGTCTCTGTCTGTCTCTCTGTGTCCGAGCACACACATATCGATCGTACTATATACATGGCAATAGTTTCTAGTCTTATTTTGCATGAAATTGTAGTACTGATATGGATACATATAAAAAACAGGTTCAACATCTTATTGAGAGATGCTTGCTACTTCACATGAATCGTGACCAATGCATAAAGGTACTAGCAGAGCATGCACGCATTAGGCCCCTCGTTACGCTTACAGGTCTGTCTCTCGAGATTTTCTCAATTTTCAAGTGTAATAATACGTATATATATGTGTGTGTGTGGCTAGTTAGTTGGTTTAATCGTGTATGTGTGAGTGCTGAAAGCATATATATATGGTTGCAGTATGGAGAGAGCTACAAAAGGAGAATAGGCACTTCTTCCAAGCATACTTCCACTCTATTTCTCCCAGACCTTTAATGGGTAAGAACCCAGCTCATCTTTACTATTCTTGTTTTTTTCAGAATTATTTGCATTCAATACGCTCATAAATTACTCCACAAAATTAGATATATGTATATCTAACCCCAACCACACCAATACACACACACATATGCATCATTGTAACTGTGTGACATTCAATCGGGAAGATTTATTCATATATGTATGTATGTATGTATGTATATAAGGATACAAACTCATACAGCAATGGGGCCTAAGAATAATTAATTAGATTTTTAAAATTATAGCAAACTTAATTATATGAGGTTGCTGCATTTTCTATTTTTCAGGCAGTTGTATTCAAAGGGGGCCAAGATTTGGAAGAAGGAAACAGCACTGGAAGTGAATGTGGTTGTTCTGAAACATATATATGTGTGAGGAAGTTAAACTAATTAATTACAACTCAAAACTAGCTAGCCATCATTTTGAATATCCTAGTTTGTAATTATAGCTGAAAATAAGGTTCGATGATTTGGGAAAATGGATAAAATCCCAGTCAAGTATCAAATATTTTTGCTACTCATGACTTTGTGTGCCACAAATATAGGTTTTAACTAGTTTCCCACAAGGGCTGGGGCACTTTTGAATGGTTTAAATTACGACTTTGTTTTAAAGATAGATTTTACTATGATTCATCCGATCTATTTCCGTTGCCTGAATTTGAAGTAGTCATTCAAAGCAAGCAGAGAGTTTATTGGAGGTAGGTAAATCAAGGAGACTCCCTTGGCCGAGAGAACCATTTATGAAAATTTTATCTGTTTCATGTGAACATGACCAAACATCATGTATCCATGCATCATTCACAATAATTATTGAAAAACATGGGCAAGATAATTAAACAAACGATGCATGACAAACTACTCAAACACATCCTAGTTTTGAAATGTGTCATTAATTGTCTCTTATAATAACAGTCCCAGCTAGCCTGTAACCAAGTTTCTGGCACATCTTATTGAGGAAATGTAGCTGTCACAACCATATGGAATTTGCATGCAGTCCATAACCATAGAGAAATTTGATTTACTTGGAAACTGAATTGAACTAGAAAACATTGAGTTTGTTTAACTGAACCATATCAAATATATTAATTCCATCACAATCAGCAAGCTCATCTAAAGCAAATCGATCGAGTACTACTTCTTTCTGCAGTCGGTGAAGACTTTTGTTCAATATCTGAAACGAAAACCACATTCCCTAGAGAATCTACTCTTAAAATAGCAAATGACTTGAACCCTAAATCGTGGGCCTTAAAATCAAACAGCTTTCTTGTTATAGAAGTTTAGGTCAAGTCTTCATTCACTCGAAGGGTGTCCTTGCCCATATGGAATGCCTTGGGGCCTTTCTCTCGCGGAAACCATTGCCATCTTGGACTGCCTGCAATTTTCACAACAGAAAGTTATGCATAAATACATGAGTGGCATAAATTAATTATTACATACACACACACACACAAGGATTGTGACAAGCTTTGGGATATTCAATATTACTATTAGCCTTCCTGCAGCCCCCGGCCCTGGATAATTGCTATATATTCTGATCATTAGCAAGATTAATTATATTAGCAATGATTACATTAAAAATTTAGTCAGGGTTTAGTAACCTATAAACAAAATTCAATTAGGGTTTACATGCATCAATATTTTAATCACGCATGCTGCATAACTAAGATCTGGAAACAATAGTCAATTAGGGTTTACTTAATTGATTACCCTTTTGGCTTTCATGTTTTGTTAGGTGGAGTTGAAATTAATCTGATGATCAAAGTTGGGAACTTAGGGTCTTTAGTTTACCTCAGGCATATCAGATTCCCATGCCACATTTTCCTCCCTCAGCTCGCTGCAGGTGCAACTCTCTCCATCTGGACCATCTTCTTTGTACTGAATTGGAGGGAACTGTGCCCACTGCACATAATCATGCAAAATCACAAAGTTAATAGTACTATAATTACATTTCATTACTGATCTTGGCCATAAAAGACCTTACATTTTTTGCAGCTGTACTGAAAGCTTCCTTGTGAGTCATGCTTGGATTCTCAGCCTTAAGCCTCCTGATTTCTTCCCTGTTTAACAGATGAAAGTTGTATAAAAATTTTAAAACTTCTCATTGAATCACAATCACATCTTATGTAAAGTGAATAATCTTACTTGATAAATCGGTTGTAAGCCGATGGAGCTCGTTGTCTCTTCTCCGGGGCTACATACGGATTGATAATAGTATTTAAGATAAAGTTGATGCATTGCACCAAATTATGTATGGATTATAAACATAAACCAAATTATATATGGATTATAAACATACGTTTGTTAACAATGGGATTCATGGAGATCATATCCTCATCTTCATTGTCAGAATTGGAAATCACCATTGATGGGCTGCGCATGTCCAAGGAGTTTTGCTTCTCCACCATTTCCTCCAAGCAAAGTTCTTCTTTTTGCTACAAAGAGATTAAAAATTTCACAGAGACACTATCATATTGATTAAGACCTAAAAACCCTATGAAATGTAAAGATCCAGATGGGATTTATATATAAAAAAATTACTCGTACATATATAGGGTTATATGTACCTCATCTTGGGTAAGTGAAGCTAAGAGATGAAGGGGAACAAAGGAGGCCTTCATCATGTTCACTGATAGGAGGCAACTGCAGTGACCACATCGGACAGTGACGGCCAACATAGACAAGCTGCTGCATGGGACGCTCACCTACGTTTTTACATAAAACCAATCGGTCAAACTTGCCAAAATAAAAGGAAAGAGTAAGAAACAGATCAGAACCCAAGAATTAATTCAGTCATGCTAGCTTTATCAAAATTTTCTCAATCTACTAGTAAAAAAGTTAGGACAAATATTGAGTAACCAGGAGTATGGTAGTGCAGAAGCCACACTGGACATAGCAAATCTGGTCTGGAAGATCGTAGAGATGATTCAGTGTTGACATGTTTGTGTGTTTTCTAGAGAGAGAGAGAGAGAGAGAGAGAGAGAGAGAGGAGGTGAACAAAAGTAAGTGTCTGGTTATAAAACGGGAGGATTTATATAGAAGCTGGAGGACAATCATCATAAATAAAAAAATCATTATGAATTACTAAATCACTAACTTTCATTGATGATTATTACTTAGTCATGGTCAATATGCATAAGTACTTTTATGTGATTTGATCCATATTGTTTTAAGGAAAAAGACGTGTGCTAGGTTTCACTGCTATATCAACGTGAAGTGGGGATGGTGAGTAAATAAATGTTGAAGCACTTCAGAATGTTTGAAGTCTAGGGTTCTTTATCACTCCATAGCCAAATTACAGGCACACCCCTAAACCCTAAAATGGTGAAAATGGCAACATCTTCGCAGCCATATCTATTTCTGATGTAAAACTTCAATCCAATGAGATTTTTTAGTGTGACCGTTATACGGGTGGTACACCACGTGTTACTATACAAATGGTGAGATATGCATGTTAAAAAGTTAATAACTTAAAAAGTAAAATTTCCCACTACTTATATCAAAACACATGATATGTACTCCGATCACAAAGAAAAATTTCTTCAATCGAACGGCAGGTGAGTAAAGTGACTAGCTAGCTAGGGTTATAGAAGCTCCTTTAGTTTCATGCGTTGTTTTCTCCATAAATTGACTCTCTTTTCTCCCACGTGAAAGTGAAAGTGAAAGTGCAGCAAGTTTTACCACAAGTAATAAAGTGGATGTTTCTAGAAGCATGCATGGAGAAGGAAAAGTGGCATCTTAGAATTTGTCTTTTCCTGAAAGAAGAGCAAGATCCAATTGATACAGGAAGGTCTCTCGACTCTCTCCTTTGCCTTTTGTGCTGCCCAGTTTTGGTTCATAAATGACCTATATCTACTGCACCAGTTACCGTTTTAACTAATTGACATTGATCCACTATGTGGTAATTAACTCTCCCCCATGTGGATGTAAGTGAGAGTTCAAGATCAAAGGTCCCCACATCCCCACAGATTGAAAATTGAAAACTCAAATGTGCATGTATATTTGCTGTCGCGCAAAAATGAGTGCCAGTCAGGTCATTGTTAATTCCTCATTGTCAATATTTTTCCTAACCCTAGGGACAGTCGGTACTAACATTTACAGTGAGAATTTTGAATTCCTCTTGAACTAATTAGGAGTTTTATTTTTAGTTTTGGTATTAAGCAGAGGTAACTAAGTTGTGATTGTTTGCTAGGAATCAAGAAACATCGAGATCTAATTCCATATCTCTTATAAATATTCATGTTTTGGTTGTCCCTAGAGTGAAGTCTTTCATGTCTAATCTCTATTTTTGTTTTTCATTACTTGTTGGTTAGAGCCTAATCATCTATAGTTTTGTTAAGAAATGGGTTTCTAGCTATCATTATGTGTGCATTGTGTAGGAAGAGAGCATTTTAAAATTCATGTCTTTTTTCCTTCTGGGCCAAAACTCTTTAAGCTTTTATCATTTGCATGCATAAAAAAGTTGTTGATCCATGTTTAATGCATATCATTTGTGCAAAGAGACTCGTATTTTATTGTATTTTTTGGTTCTCAGTAGTATCAGTAGAGAAGTGTTAGGATCAGTCGCGCACATGTGCGTAAGTTGATTGTAGCTAATTATGCTTTATAACTCTCAAAAAGAAAAAGAAAAAAAATAAAGAATCAGCCTACATGCACAAGTGCTACTAATTCCTACCTTTTCCCATTATCCGTAGAGCATATATAATGATAAATAGGAAGAAACTTGTATTTGCCATAGTTCATGAATGGCTTTACTTTTTACAATTACCGATGGGTACTTCCCTCCATACACAACATATTGGGCAGCAAAGACTTGTACAAAGCTGCAGTGAAACTTTCATTCCCGAGAGCACCTACCCTAAAGAGGAAGATGAATTGGAAATTCGGAACCCTATCTCTGGAGTGGGTCATTCAGTAGTCAAAAGAAAGCTTGTTTTCACAGAAACCTTTGTCTTCTTCTTCTTCTTCAAGGGCCCAATATTTTTTACAGTAAGGCCATGCAAGTACCTGTTTGATCAAGTACTGGCAACAGTTATAGCGACAACAGCCTGTTCTAAACATACCCAGGAAGGTTATTTTCTCATAAATTATCACATGACCTAGTTTACTCCAAGAGTGTGACTAGCTTTGGAACTCAGCGAGTAATTATGTTGAAGTAACAATTTTTTGCCCGAGTCAGCAGAAATCTTGACTGCTGATGTGTGAGGAGTGATGACTCTCAGGTAAGATGTCAATGGTCATGATGCTTTGATGATTCGGGACTGGCTTTGAACATACATGCTGATCAATAGATATTGATTTTTGTGTTGGTTTGATACAGCTGCCTAACAAAATATGCAATCTTGGATGACATCTGAACTTATGCCCATAATTTAATTTTGTCAAATCAACGAAAAATTTAAGAGAGATTTTTCGTTGATTTGACAAAATTAAATTATGGGCATAAGTTCACCTCTTCCAGACTCTGCGTAAAGCGGGAGCCTTGTGCATTGGGTACGACCTTTAACGAAAAATTTAAGAGAGATGTCACATATTGGTTATTTGATGTCATCCGAAAAATTGCATATGCATTGTATATGACCCTCTCGAAGGGGTATTCTTCACATTTTAAAGTTAAAGATATTGAACAAAAAATTAAAGGGAGTTTTAATGAAAAGCTTCTGGTACTGTTCATTTTAACGAAAAACCATATTTTTACACTAAAAAATCAATCATGATACTATTCACTTTACCTTTTATTTTGTCTCTATCATTAAAACTCAAAGTTTTCAAGCCATTTTCATTAGTTTTCCTAAAATTAAACTCCTTCCAATATGTCGTATCATTCTTATAACAATGTTATTTGATTCTTTTCTTTGAAAGTTGAATATATTTTTATGTTAGTGAGAGCATGAGGTTGGGTAAAGGGTGGTGATATAGTGGGGGCGAGTGGGGGTGAGTTGGGTTGTGGTTGAGGAAAGATTTTTCAATGTGCCGGGAATGCGATCTGTATAGTGGTTGGAGAGGAACAAATTCTCATCACCTTTAAGAAAACGAATTCAGGGATGGATGAATTCGAAGAAGTATTCTCTTCTCCTTTTCTGATGCCTCTTGTTTTTAGGCATCAGAAGGGAAACAGTTTTCCGCTTGGCCGAAATAGGAGTTGCTTTCTTCCCGGAATAAAAGCGAAACTAAATTCCACCATTGATGCCCAAAAAAGTAGACTGCGTTTCATTTCAGCTACTACTACTAGTA